ATCTGTCAAACTCTAGTCATAACATTGGGTCAAATACTATGAGTATTGAAAGTGTTAGCGGTTTGTGATTGTCATAGTATTTGACCCAATGTTATGACTAGAGTTTGACAGATAATGACAATGAATACAACTTTATATTGATTTGAATGTCGTCAATAAAATGCCAATATGTATTGCAGTCAAGCAACTCAATCCATAATCATAAGTAAAGATTATTGTACAAGAATTGAGTTCATAAGTAGATTAATAAAATCTTTTGTTTCTAAAATTCATAGGAATCTCAACCATATCTGGAGATCTGATACTCGAAAGCGGAACCTCTGCTATAAATATCAACGACAATGGGATTCAAATTCAATCGGATAATGGGTTTGAAGTGCGGACCCGAGACAGCGATAAGCTTATATTTCCCATTGATTTTGGATCACTTTCCATACCATCGCTGCCATCCCTATCACTTCCAGGCGGCGCCAAAGATGTGAACAAAATAAGGTCGCCTACAGATCGCGACCTTAACATTGAATCGCACCATAAAATTAAGATTCGTGGCAATGAAGGCATTGATTTGGAGAGTAAACGCATTGAAGTAAACGCTTCCTCTATATTCTTGTCGTCAATCAAAGGTATTATTGTTTTCGATTCTAAAGAAGGCATTCATATCAATATGAAGACATTCAATGGAATTGTTGACAACAATAATGATGGACCGGAAAAGAAATTACAGAATAAGTTGTGTGTTTGCGGCAAAACTGGAAGAATATTTCAGATACAACTAAGACATGCGAGTCATGGTTGCGCTGATGTCCGCTTTCCCGAGTCCGCCAATCCTTGTGTCTAATATTTATGAAAATGTTTCAATCATTTGTTTAGCAATTACTTAATACTTTATATTTTTAATTACTTGTAATATAAATAATCCATTTATAATTAATTTATCAATGATAAGTCATGAATCATAAAGAAAATGTTTGCTATTTAGTAGAACTTCTAATGTATTCATTTATACTTTAAAATATTGTGTAAATATAATTTGAATAAAAATATAAAATTAGACACATTATATCATAAATAGATTTAACGTAATTTTCAAGTGATGGAAAAATCAATAGAAATGAATTGTTTTACAGATAACTTATCTGAATTAAGTTATAATAAATTATCTCAAAACTGGTGATAATATTAAAGAATTCCAGTCACAGTAACAGCAGAATTAGCTAAAGTAAGCTATAATTATTATACTGTATAAGGAAAAGACTGCTTTGTCATGAATAATATAAATATTATATGAAGTATGGTATGAATTTTCAAAATAAAATCTCTCAATTTTTACAAATTTTTTATATTTAGGTAAATTTACTATTATATGTATGTATGGATGGATGTATTAATAGGTACTACACTCACAAAGAAAAATAATGTTATATTTTAAAGTAAAAGTAACCAGATTTTGCCAAGATTCCTTTTGAATTGTATGGTTTATAGTAAAGTACAAAATTTGTACTACAAATACGGTATGCAATGTTTTTGAGTTAACTTGAAAATTTAAAGTTTAAATATACGGGAACAATTAATATTTACACAAACGTTTAGTTTATTTTTAAAACATAGCTATTTTTAAAATTCTACAGTATGATAAAATGAGTTGAACATTTTCACAAAAACCTGTATAAATACTGTATATAACGAAAAAAGAAAAATATATTCATTTAGATTCCCCTCCTTTTGCTTTCAGAGAGCAAAGCCGAGACTTTTTTAAATGAATCCGATTTTGCGTATTCTCTTCACTCTATTATATCAAACAGTTGTGTCCTTCACTTCTCAGATGTGATCTGAGATGAGAACAGAGTTTGAAATGATTTCATTCATACAACTCTTATGTAATGATATCTTATTATCAAATTATTAGCATTAAAGACAAGGTTGTCAGTAAACTTACGTTGGATTATAATAGTGAACGAAAGCATAATTTTGTGTAACATTTAGTTGCTCTCATTATTTCATTCAAATACAACGAATTTTCCTCATTTTATTTGATTAGAAATTCTGGAAATCGTTTAAAAGAAACCAAAATTCATATTGAAAATAGTGATCATTAATAGGTACTAGGATCATTAATAAGCGACTGACAGTAATCAGTGTGAAATGAGTGACAATAATATGGAAGGAAAGGACTGTTTGTTGAGTTTGGAAACAATGAATCAAAGGATTCGGCGGATGGAGTACGCGGTCAGAGGAGCCATACCTATGAGGGCCACAGAATTGGAGAAAGAGCTCAAATCAGGTCTTAAGAAACCGTTTGATGAAGTGATTCGCGCCAATATAGGCGACTGTCATGCCATGGATCAAAGACCACTCACATTCTTCAGGTATGAAAGTGTTCATTATAAATGAGTTGATATTACATTGTGTGATACCTTGAGTGGTACCTTGATACATTGTGTCATACATCGACTCATTAACTATATATCAAATTATTTACAATACAACCACTTATTACAGACAAGTCTTATCAGGAGTTCTCAATCCAAACGAATGTCTTTCAAACCCTAATATACCAGAAGATGTCAAACAAAGGGTTACTTTACTATTAGACGGATGTGGCGGCAGATCTGTGGGCGCCTATTCAGACGCCTCCGGAGTTGAGATCATTCGAAGACATGTCGCCGAATATATCGAGGAAAGGGATCAAATAGCGAGCGATTGGCTTAATATAGTGCTGACTACGGGTGCGTCTGAGGGCGCAAAGGCTATGCTCTCGTTTATAAATTCGGGATCAAATGATGGCATTCCCACCGGTGTTATGGTTCCCATACCTCAGTACCCGTTATATTCTGCAACCATTTGTGAGTTAGGAATGCATTTGATTTCATATTATTTGGACGAACAGAACGAATGGGCGCTAAGTATAGATGAATTGAGTCGAGCCCTCGAAGAATCCAAGAATCACTGCAAACCAAAGGCAATAGTTGTGATAAACCCGGGAAACCCAACCGGTTCTGTACTCACTCGACATAATATTGAGGATATTATAAGGTTTGCCAAACAAAACAATCTCATCATAATAGCCGATGAAGTCTATCAGCACAACGTCTGGAAAAATGGGGCAAAATTCTACTCATTTAAGAAAGTTATGCACGAATTGGAGGTTAAACTCGAATTGGTGTCAATGATGAGCGCTTCCAAGGGTTGGTTCCGTTGCTTGAATTCATTAATTTTTCAATAAAATTGATTTCTTGGAAATAAATGATAGGTTTTATGGGTGAATGTGGTCTTCGTGGCGGATATTTAGAGATCACTAACTTTGAGCCTCAAGTGAAGGCAATGTTCTTCAAGATGTTGAGCGCCAGACTCTGTTCGTCCATTTTAGGCCAAATAGCAATGGATTGTGTGGTCAAACCTCCGACCATTGGTGAGCCTTCTTATGAGATATTTATCAAAGAAAAAGAGGAGGTCTTGGAATCACTTCGAAAGAGGGCTAAACTAACTGCTGATACGTTTAACTCGATCCCTGGCATTGTGTCCAATCCAGTGGCCGGCGCTATGTATGCCTTTCCCAAAATTGTTTTGCCGGACAAAGCGATTAAAGCGGCCGAAGAGAGGGGACAAAAGCCTGACTTCTTCTATGTAATGACATTACTGGAGAAAACAGGCATTTGTGTTGTGCCCGGCTCTGGCTTTGGACAAATACCCGGGACCTATCATTTTCGGACTACTATTTTGCCACAAACTGACAAATTGGAGAGAATGATGAAAAAGTTTAAAGAATTTCATTTGAATTTCGTTGAGGAATATAAATAGTCTTAGATTTCGAACAAACATTAAAATTGTAAAAGTTTTGCTATTTGTGATGATTTTAAGTATATTTTTGTTTACTTTTTAGATAAATGTTTATGAAATACAAATCGAAGTAATGATTTGTTAATGAATTTGTTAATTAATTAATTATTTTGGGCATTTAATAGCTCTACATTTAGGTCTCTAATTTACTATTGTGATAGAAAAATGTACCGATATTCTGTGAGTCCATTTATTTAGTATAAGTAATAAAATATGATATAATATATCATAATATAGAAGAATAATTTAGTTTTATAACTTATTAATAATTATTATTATAAAGTTCTTTTGACTTATTTTACAGATATACAGTATTCTACTAGTAATGCAAATATACTTGATAAGTTTTATTATTATTATAAACCTAAAGTTACTCTTACTTTTTATTTTTTATGAATTATATGTTAATATAGTGCAAGTTACAAATTAATTAAAAGTAAAATATTTTTATTGTATTTAATGCTGAATAACAATAAAAACAATTGAATGGTAGGAATCTTATCATTAAATGATTATTATAATTATAAATAATAGCATCGGTTGTTATAGTAATTCAATGACTGTAGTAAATATTTAAATATTTGGACTGTTTTAAGCCTCATTTCAGATAATTATAGTTGTAATGCACAAAATGTTGTATTGCATAACTTTTTTTTAGTTACGATTTTCTAATGTGAATAACTTTTATACAATATAAGTCTTACAAGTTTGTTGAAGATTAAATTCTATGTCAACCTTATATTCATTATCATAACAATAACTATAGAATAGTTAACATAACTTATTTTTGGGGTAATTTAGTTTTGAGAGTATGACTGATAGTTTTACCTGTCCATGTATACTACCTGTATATCAGACCTACTACTGTATTATGTAAGGGGTGTCCCTGTTATGCAAAACCAGTTGTTGTGTAATAATAGAGAGACAGCGAGTGAGTCATAGCGTGATTGCAGTGCTTATAGTGATTACAAACGAGACACACATTTGAGAGTTTAGGCAATCGTTTGTTGACAAACACACAGACTATGCACTCAATGGCCAAATCGTGCGATACTTTCGTTGTGTTACCGCCGATGACGGCTCACAAGCTCACCATCTTTGGCAAGAACTCGGACAGACCTAACGGTGAGGTCCAAGAGATTGTTTATTACCCGCGAAACACATACGAGAGTGGATCCAAAACAGAGGTAAGGCTTACTGTGACTGACATGTCATCAAAATCAGTGATCCGTTCAATGGTATGATTTGTCACCTCTTGAGTGCACTTACATATCAATCGAGTCGACGCCACAGACCTATGCAGTGATGTTAAGTAAGCCGTCGTGGATGTGGGGCTCAGAGATGGGATCCAATGAGTTCGGGCTCTGTGTCGGCAACGAAGCCGTTTGGACACAACTCAATGGACCCAATGATGAGGAGGAAAGACTCCTCGGCATGGATTTGGT